GTGGTGGTGGTGGGTGGTGGTTTTGGTGGTGGTGGTTTTGGTGGTGGTATGGTTTTGGTGGTAGTGGTGGTGGTTTTGGTTGTTGGTGGTGGTTTTGGTGGTGGTGGTGGTGCTGTTTGTTTTGCTTATTTTTCTTTTGAGGAGGAGGTGCAGAAAGGGAGCAAGGAAAGGTGAGCAAATGCAGTCATGTTAGTATCCACTCCATGGAAAATGAACTCTATTACTGGTGGGCAGGGACTGGAGGGATAACTGAGGGAAAGCAAAGGAAGGGGAGATGTCTAAAAAGGAAGCGTACTCATTACCTGACTTATGAAAGGGTAACCCTTGTACCACACCTTAACAATAATAATAAAATGATATTTTAACAAAGGAGGAGCTTAGACATGCAGACAGGCCGAGGGATGTCAGCTGTGTGGGGGCCAAGGTGGGGCCAGGGCTGCAGAGGCCGGAGCTCTGCCCTGGCGCTGGAGACAGAGCCTGCTATCAATACCTTGACCAGGACCCCAGCCTCGGCACTGACTGCCCCCAGGGCGTGGTCCTTTGACTCAACACCTGGTCTGTGAGCCTTGGAACAGAGGGCCGAGGGTGAGTGGTATACTTGGATCCCTGCTGGCTCAAGGGAGGGGCTGGGTTTTGTTCTTTACCCAGGGAGTGCAGGCAGAGTCAGATGCCCAGTCACATGCATGAGCCAGGATCCCCTTTCAGGGGATATCAGCAAAGCCCATGGTGATGATGTGGTACCAGCTGTCAGAGAAGGAGGCTGGGCAGCCCGTGGGACGCTTGACAGAGAACAGATGTGGGGGGGGGGCCTAGCCTGGGCCTGGGAGCTCTGCCTCACAAGCAACGACAGGCCTCCTGAAGACGGGGACGTGCGCCTTGTTTCCAAACACCCAACTGGAAAACCAAAACTAGGAATGGGAGCCCAGGAGTTTAAACCAACACGGACGTGGGTGGCCAGGGAGAAGTTGGAGGCAGTGGAAGCCATGAGGGAGCAGGCAGATGCCTGGGAGACGTGGTGGAGAAGGTGACCAGGGACTGGGTCAGGTCTTGCCCCATAAGCATGCCAGTCCTTTGAAAGTATCGTGATGTCAGGGCTGGTTTGGGCACTGAGCTGGGCAGAGAGGAAGTTCTTTTCCTTACCTTATACCTGGTAGTCTGAGAACAGCCATCTATCGGGGCCTTGTCCTGCTACAGAGCTGAGAGATGCTTATCAGCGTATCAGCAACAATGAAAGAGAAATGTAATGGCCTAAAAGGTCAGTCCAAGGGTGGTGTCCAGCATGGAGTCAGGGAAGACCCGGGGTGGATATGAAGAGGAGACAGCTGTAACTGTGGCCATGGGAGACAGAAAACTAGCAAAACTGACATGGAAAGAGATCAGAGTGCAGCACTCGCCGCACAACACCAGCCAGCACATGGCTAAGACACAATGCACTCAAGAGGAAACCATCCACCTAATGTCAGGACTGTGTGTGGCATATTTGTGCTCCGATGCCACCCGCCCTCACAGACCACCTTGGCAGTAGCCTAGTGATTGTGTTAAAGAAGCCCCAGAGGCATGCACCAGTTAAAACTCACAAATAGTTTGTTTATAGAATTTTCCATTTGCTGTCTTCAGAACAGAGCTGACCGTGGGTAACGGAAGCGGTAGAGGCAGGTGATGAGTGTGATTCCGATACACAACCTTCATTAGAGCATTTAGCACACCAGGCTGCCAGGCGTCTACTTAGAAGGAAAGAAGCCGGCAGGGCTCTCATGCCCGCGGTCCCACCCACCCTCGAGTGGACGGTGAAGGCCTCAGATGGGCTGGCTGTGATCAGAGATGCTGCTGGGGCAGACCCTGGCTCCATCCTGAATTCTGTCCTGCAGTGGCTAAGCCCTGCTGTCCCTGTGGGCCTTGTGAATGGTTCCTGGAAGGAGGCGTCCCAGCCCAAATACAGCGCTCAGTGGGCTGCTGGCCCCCCAGGTCTGGGGCAGCCACACAACCACAGCCAGATGCCTGGCGCACAACGCGGTTCGGAGATGCTCGCTTCCACAGCCAAGCAGCAGAGTCTGGCTCCACTGGGACCTGGACGGCAGTTTGAGCTCTGTTAACGGATGTTTTCCTTTCTCTCCTGGGTGTGTGGTACTTTGGGAGCAGACCTTGTGCAGAGCCTACAGTGCGCTTCTGACAACATTACTTGTAGCAAGCTTGGCCCAGTGAGGTGTGATTGCAAAGAGAGGAGGAGACTGAGACCCTCAGAAGCAGCCGGAAGACAGAGGAGATGCCTGCTCACTGCCTGGCGAAAGCTGGGTGGCAGCACCGGACCGAGCCTGGCACTTCTGTAGCTTCACTTCCAAGTGATACAGAATCACACTGTCTCGCAGCAGAAACTGGGAGAGCCGAGTGTCGGGGGAGGGGCTCTCCTGTGCTGCTGCCTGGGCCAGTCTCAAGAGGAGAGCGCACACCTGCTCCACTCCAAGTCACCCCACAAGTACCTCGTGGCATTTGGGGGACTGGAATGGAATCTCAAGGCATTGTCTCAGGTTACAGACCCAAAAAACACCATTATTTTTTAAATCTAAAATGTGCCAGCATTTCATACTATCTCTAAAGGAAACAGGTTGCAGAGAAGACATTATTTTCTGTCTGTTCATGAATGAGAAGCAGACAGGAGCAGGCAGAGGTGAGGGGCCTCACAAAGAGATTCACCAGGTTTCTGCAGAGGTCTGTGAAGCAGGAGTCTGGGCATGCTGCTCATCAGTCAGTGCTCAGCTGGAAAGCTTCTCCGCCCAGACTTGCTGCCTCACAGCGGCAAGGGCAGAGGAGATCCAAACACAGATGGGACAGAATTTCATGCTATAGGTCCCTTAGGTGGGCGAGGCGTGTAACTTCAGCATGTTTGCAGCACTGTGGATGGTAGTTGGATGGGTGGTAAATGAATAGATAGATGGATGGATGGATGGATGGATGGATGGATGGATGGGTGGATGGATGGTAGTTGGATGGATGTGGATGGATAAATGGATGGTGGATGAATTGGTGGATGATGAATGAAGAGACAAAATGAGCTTCACTGTGAAAACCTCTCATGAACCATGTTAATTGCATGGAAAGGTGAAAGATGGATGAATAGGCAACCTATGCAAAGATAGAAGGAAATTGCTTACATTTTCAAAAACAAAAGCTGGAATAATGCATGCACCCACAGGGGCTTTGGGGCACGAGAGACAGTCCAGACATAAGCCTGGAGGCGTGGCTCGCAGTAGTGCCTTTGCAATGGGACCCCGTATTGCTGCCTCAGGGCAGAGGACAGCAGGGTGGCCGTGTGCACAGCCCCTGGCCTGCCTGCTTCCTACCTGTGGACTCCACAGACCGGAGCCCGGTCATTTCCTGTTAACTTAGGGACACACCAGCTCAGGGCCGACGGACCTGACACCAGGGCAAAGGTCTGGAGGCTGCAGACGGCCAGAGTCCCCCACAGAGTGGGGGCCTCTCCTTCCTGCCCCTCTCCGTAGCAACGGGAAGATGGATGGCTCCCGTGACCTCACTACTGAGCTCCTCGTGAGGAGGATCGTGATGGGAAGCACTGAGGAGCAGGCAGGCGCGCCAGGCCGCAGAGTATCCGCAGGGTGCTCTACCTGGGCGGGACAAATGCGAAGCCATTGACCCAGCATGGGGAAAGCACAGCTCACTGAGGAGGAAATCCCGCCGCCCATTTAAGGATTAGTGAACAGGATGCAGAGTTTGCTCCAGAGCCTGGCCCAGGCTCAGTGTGCTCACAGGAGGTCCCCACCGCCCTCCTAGCTGCCTGAGCCTGCCAC